CAACATTAACCTACTTGGTGAGATGCTTTCTTTTAACTTTCTTTTTTTCTTTTTTTTTCCCACTGTGAAAGCAATATAAAGTAGAGCACACTTAGCTGATGGTGGGCCGTGAGTCGTACCATTCCTAAAGACTGAGAAACTGAATTGCAAATGATGAGGATGAAACAATATAGTGCAGAAATGTCATGATGTTGCTTTCTTATTCGTATATAATTTCCTAGATATCTGATATGGGTCATTGTCAGACAGGACAGAGAACTTTGATAGCGTGGAACTTTGTTCTGACTCTACTGGCCAATCTTAAAATTTTGGCTTCTCAAAAGAAGCAGGAAAATTATTTTAATGTACTGAGGGTGCGTGGTGTGTCTGTAGAAATTGAGGGTCGAGTTAAGAGTGGAAGCTCTTTGTTGTTCCAGGATTACTTCATTTCCACATCAGTAGATCTACAAGAACAAGTTCATCGTGTTCAAAAGCTTCACCATATGCTGGAAATAATAGTCAGCTGTACAGTCTTACTGCAGTTTAACCACGAGAACCTCTTCCCTTTGACACAGTAAGTGTTTCATTTTTACTTCTTGCTCTTTAAATGACAGTAACAAATAGATTCTCTTTGACAGTTGTAAAAAAACTCTTCAAAAAAAGAAAAACAGCCCTTTAGTGTTGATGATTGAGGCTGCAGAAGTAACATTTGGATCTTCCTGTTAAATTTTGCTTTGTGACTAAAACTGAAAAACAAAGGAAATGATAAAATCTGCGAGTATAGTTAATTTTGCACGTGTTTTATGCAGTGTTGTGCAATCATCTGTCCAAAAAAAGTTTAAAACTAGTTGATTTCTGTCGTAGAATTTGCATCAAGTACTATAAGGAAAACCCTCTAAATGAGAAGCACACGTTTCAGCTGCCCATCAGACCAGCAGTTGTCAAGAAGTTCTGTGAAAAGTAAGAGAAACTTCAATCTTTGCAGCATTAACATTCAGACGTGACTGAATACCTGACTGGATTTTGACATTTCTTGGTTATTCTCTCAGCGATCACCCAGAAATATGGAAGGTGGACGTGAGTAGTGGGCACGGACAGAAGGAGGTTAAAACAACATGGCAAGTTAGTGCTGATCCTCCGTTTGAACACATGACATCAAACAATACAGGTAAGAAATATTTGTGGTGAAATGAAATAATGAAAGCACACATGTCAAATTCAGGTGTTATACTGGGTTCGGTGGATCTGAACTTTTTCTTACTCAGCAAGAGTAAAATGATGTTTTGTCTTTTAGTAAAAAGGTGAGATGGTATTTGTAGAGTGTAAAAGATTTTTATGACGTGGTGACTCTTACCTTCTCATCTTTGCTGAGCTACATTTTTAGAGTTGAAACAACGGAGTAGTTCCAAATATGACATGACTGTTACATATTTTACACAATATTTTATAACTTATATCTAAAATCTTTGCCAGTGTATCTGAGAATGGGTTCTTATGTTTTTAGCATTAAAACAATGGAGTAGTTCCAGTTATGAATTGATTGTTACATATTTTACACAATATCTTATATCTAAATCTTTGCCAGTGTATCTGAGAATGGGTTTGAAGAGAGATTTACCTGTTATTGAACACTGGCCTCTAGTTAGAGAAGCAAGCAGGTGCTAAGGAAAGAAGATGTGCTTTGCTGCAATCAAATGCAGAGAAGTGAAAAGCATGAGAGTGGGGAATAATGAAGCATATATACTGGTACAGAAGTAGCTTGCCTTTTTGGGGTGAGGTTGTGGAGGGTAATGCTTTAATAAAGCTTCCCTGTCGTTTTTTGTCATGGAATACTTTTTTCAGTGAAACTGAGGTTTCGTAAAGCTTCCCTGTCGTTCTCAATTTTTTTGTCACGGAATACTTTTTTCAGTGAAACTGAGGTTTCAAAACCGATTCTTGAACCTGTTGCACAAACTAATCTCTAAATTTTTTCTTGCTAAAAATAGTGCTAATTGCATCTTTTTCTTTTGTCTGTGCAGGTCTCTTATCCGATTCCGTTCTTGAAGCTGCTGCACAAACTAATCTCTGAATTTTCTCTTGCTAAAAATAGCAGCTAATTGCATCTTTTTTTTTTTTGTCTGTGCAGGTCTCTTATCCGATTCCACAGTTAATGGAAGTGGTGAAGAAGGAATGTATTACATTGCAATGGTTAAGTGCAGTCAGGTGCATCTCACATAAATGCGTGTTTCTCCCCAGGCAGGCGCTGGAAAGGTACAGTAAAGGGGAAGGTTCAGTATTATCTGTGGCCCAACAGTGTATTTAGAAACACTGTGTCATTTGAAGAACAGTACATCTTACCCAGTGCTTTTCTTTAGCGTGCTTGAAGTCTGACATACACAGCCATAATTCGTCTGTACGCATCTAGTCTTTTATAAATGTTGTGCAATTATGAATGTACAGTATAATTATTCTGAAAATATAGTAGATATTTTTGTTCGTATATTTACAAACATGCAATAAAGTTCTGCACTTTGGGGTTTTCCATTTTATTTTTATTCATTAAGAATGCAATCAGACACTGTTCAAAGCGTGGATTATCTTATCCCAACAAAACAAGCAATATTGTCTTATTTTCCTGGTCTCAAGTGATATCGCATCATCTGGGTGTATTTGGGAAGCTGTTCATCCAGGGCACTGGACACTTCAGACAGTCTGACTTTCTTTGTCCCTGTATTTATATTTTCGAGTATTCTTGGATATACTTCCCTCTCCTCTTCAAATTCATTTTTTCCATCAATGTGAAGTGAATTAGTTTAACAGTGTTGTATAGTTTTGCATAATAGTTTGAAAAAAACCCCATTCAGTATAATTGGCTGGGCATCATCATTTAAATATATTGGGATGACAGTTGCATGTGTTCTTATGTTGATTAGATAGGGTATGTAACGTTTTGGTAGTGTAATTTTAAACAATTACATAGTGTAGTATATGCTGATTAAATAATTTGAGACAAACGTTTTGCTATTGCCTATTGATAAGTAAGAATAAGGAAAACCCCAGTATTAATGCTTTTTTAAAACTGTAAATTTCTGTCGTTTCTGGTTTCTCCTCAGTAAATCTTTCTTACCCCTCTCCTAATATTACATCTTAATAACTATCAGTTTAGTAGTCTTTGAAGAGAAGCTCAGAACAGGGTCCTTTTTTGGATTTTATGTGCTGCTGTACTGCATTCAGTATGCACACACACTCTTGAAGATACAGTGCAAGCCAAATGGGAAACTTGTTTGTTGCTTTGCTTTAGAGGAGTAATTTCAAGCACAACAGAAGGACAAATGCAGCCAGATGGCCATGTTCTGGAGCAAACGTTTTATAATCATGTACTTAACGTGTTCCTACCTGCAGCAGACGTGAATTTGAGGTGAAATATTACATTCTGGAAGTGTTTGGATTACTTATAATACACAATTCTGTGTGTAATATATTATAAAGTTGAATGGGGTAAATCTAGTTCCATGTGAACAAAACTAGAGAGATAAGAGTCCTTGGTTTAAATCTGACTCGGTAGTTGTCATCTTTGATTAATCTCTTCAAATAATTCTCCACACCTAAATAGTAAGGCATAGAATATCCTAACTTTGAGACATACATAATAAGTTAATGTTTAAGCAATGCTCTTGGAATATTTAAATCCTTTTCTATTTTAAAATTGTGTCTGTCTCTTTTTCAAATAGCAGTTACATGCTAATTAAAAGTCTGTTCATGAACAGACTGAAATCAGACTTTGCAGACAGCTTTTAATCACTTGATACTTGTACTAGAAATATTTAATCACTTTAATCTTAGCTAACCTTTTTTTTTCTGGTAAACAAAATGTATAGTAGTTTCCAAAATAATAAGAAACATGAAATCTGCGACTTAAAATGAGTAAAATGTAATGCAGGAAAGGAATATACTTGAGGTTTTGATAAAAAAAAATTACATTGTTTTGGGAATTGAATAGGATAAAAACCTATAAAAGTGCTAGGTGGGCAGGTAAAGTAATATTTCTTTATCTTTGCAGTGGTATAAAAAGAGGCATCTGTGGTAAACTTTAACCAATATAATAAGACAGTTGCATTTTATTTATTATGCAAAATGAAGATATGCGTAAGCGTGCAATTTTATCTATGACTTCGAAGGTAGGATATTAGTAGCACAACGCTGATGAGTATGCAGAGTGTGAAAACTGTAGGAAGAACAATCTCTGTCACCATTTCCATGTAAGTAATCAGGGAATCTAAAATTGGAGAAATGAATAATACGTAAGATATTTAAATCTTCTGGAGCATACTAACTGTTAACTTATCGTTAACATAGATTAAAGATTTTTTTGGACATTATGGCTAAAATGATTTTGTTAAAGGTTGACATTGGCATAAACAGCAAACAAAACAAACAAACAAAATTTCATATGTCTGCAAAAGCTGGATCCCTGACAGTTTTCCCTCCTTTTTTCTTTCTAAGATAATTTTTTGAAGATATGTCAGTTCTCAAAGGGCTGCAGACATTGTGTTTACTCTGAATTAGCTTCAGTGCATTAGTAGTATCCTACTGTTCCTTTGATTTTTATTCCCCACCTCCTCCCACCAAGGGAAGGGTAGAAAAGAAAACTGCCAGAGAAATCCTTGGGAAGCACTTGATCCTTTTTATGATTGTTTTGTAGCTCTTTGAAAAATTAAATGGGTTTTATTTTGTAGAATTTTGCTCCGCAGATAAGCTTCAAAGAGTTCAGTAAACACAGTTAATTCACACAGAACATCTAACCCAGCAGCTGAGGTGGAGTAGGATAAACTTAGGATGACTGCTTTGATGTTCTCTACCACGTGGAATTTATCTTATCCTTCATATGAGACTTTAATACTTGTTTCATCTTTCTTAAAAATTTCAGAAATCCACTGTGGTAGGCTGTTCTCTTAGTTCAGCAATTATGAAAGGTCCTCAATTACACTGGGAAGGTCTGAAGTGAGATGGATTATGGAGCCTGGCTCCGTGGAAATTGGAGGTGAAATGTGCTGGATTGTGTATTCTTGAGCAGTTGCTCTAAGTTTTGCTGTTGTTGGCTTTGTTACCAGGAGCAGGAAAGAGCAGAAAGAGGCTTAACACTACCTTAGGCTAGTACTTAGCCCATTTTTTTTTAATTACTTAATTGTATGTAGAAGTAAAACATTTTAGATGTTTTCTGTCTGCATGGTTTTCTTGAATTAACTGGGCTTGTTTTATGTTTGAAAAAGAATTTAGCACTTTTATTATTTTAAGGAGAATGCTCTCATCCCTAGCCTTCGTTTTAAATAATTAACTCTTTCAGTCTGTGTATTCCATTAACATCCAAAGATGATCTCTTTAGCTACAGTATTTATAGTTGAAGAGAGTAAATAAAAACATTTTTCTTTAGAGGCTGTTGTATTTTAAAGCAATTGTGCTTTCGGGAGAAAATTCCTTTTAGGACCTGCTAATAGCATTTGCAGAGAAGTTTAAAATCTGAAAGATACCTAATATTGCTTTTATAAAACAAAACAGAAGACATACAATACCTGTAGCAAGGAGTTGGTGTGTGGTAGAGCACGTGTCCATGGCCGTCCGATACCAATTTTCCACCTGTGAAGGTTGACATACAGCAGCTCTGTGAGACTGAAATGTTCTGTCTTACTCACAGCAGCTTCTTCTCTGTCCCTGAGCATCTGTCCAATGAGACTGAAATGTTCTTATTCACAGTAGCTTCTTCTCTGTCCCTGAGCATCTGTCCATTACATTTGACTGGGAACTATTTTATTCTCTCAACACATGATTTTTCTGAAAAGCTCCTTTGTATCTTTGTGATTTTTATTGCAATATATTTCTTAGAGCTAATTGTTTAATAAGATTTTTAAAAGCACAGAATATATTCCGTATTATTTTCCAATAAAGTAGCATGTATGTGTAATTTTCTGCCTACAAATCTGACAGAGCACTGGTAAGTTATGATTTAGAATTTTTGATCATTTCAGGATGTCTAATTAGAGATTGTGAAATGCTTTAGAAATAGTAGCTGAGTCTTGTTTCCATTTTCTCTGTCTCTTGAGGCCTGTGTATTTAACACAGCCCTAATTTACAGAACCAAAGTGTCATTTCATGTACCATACTCATGCAAGTTGTTTCATGAAATTCAATGAGATACCTCCCCATAGAAGAAAAAAGAAAAAAAAGAATAAAGTTACCAATTGACATCACCTCTCTTGAATTTGGGAATCCATTTGCACTGATAATCTTTTTATAATAGGCAACGGATGCCTTTGGGTATCGTGGTTTGTTCTTGTTTTTAAAATCAATGTGATAAAATCCGAATCTTTCAGAGAAGCCTTTGTCCCATTCAAATTTATCCAGCAGTGACCAGGCAGTGTAACCTCTGATGTTAACACCATCATTTAGAGCTGCAAACAGAATACACAGAATCCTGTTGGACTTGTTGCCTACGTTTGTTGTTCTTACAATATGGTTCTGTAGGTGTTTTGTTTTATACCAGAAAGAGATGGGGAGGATGACAGAAAAATGGCAAAGTTTAAAGTAATTTAGATTCTTTGAAAATGTTATCTTTAGCTTAGAGGTACTAGAGCTCTGGAAGAATGGTAATTAGGTGCAATTTCTCCTTTCTAAAAGTGGAAACTGATGATCTACTACAGTATTAAGTCTTGTGTAGGTTATTGTATTTATTAGCATCAGTACACTTGGCTAGGTTGTCGTTTTTGTGAAAATTTGTTAGTCTAGTTTGCTGTCCATTTTGATCTGTGAATATTTATTTCTCTATGATGTAAATTACAAGAGTAAAAAAATAATCAGAAGGTGAAAACGATCAAAAAGCTCATGCACTAAAAAAACGTTTTAAAAGTTACCTTTCAGTATTTCATTAATATATCCTTTCAGATACTCTATCCGCCATTCATCACACAGCTGAGTGCACTGTACCTTTTCAGAAACTCCATTCTCTGTCACATAAATCAGAGGGTTCCCGTACTGTGTCTGCAAACAAAGAGATGTTTAGACTGGTTCATAGAAAAAAAATCATCTTATTTTGACAGAACATGAGATTCTTAGTAAAATGCATTAAAAGCAAATTTCTAGGTTTACTTACACTTAGCTTTAGTAAGAAAAAATCAAGTTGTTAAGGAATTTAAGCTAACTATGGTTTTTATTTTAAAATTACTGAATTCTGTAGATTTCTGAACTGAAATTAAGGTGGGATTTTTTTCTCCAAGAACCTTCCCAGTATGACGAGACACATATAGAGGTGAAATTGTTGAAAATCTAAAAAGTGCAGCTTTGGCACGTCACCAGAGGTTTTGTTCACTTTCTTAGAAAGAGTTAACTCTGTAATCACCTTAATGAAGTTGAGTAATCTTCTGAATCCCCAAGGCACAGAATATAACCATTTAGGTCCTTGAGCTGGCCATTTTGGGTCCACCAGTTCAGCCAAATCACAGTCAGTGTGGTAACTGGATGCTTGTAGAAAGGGAAAGCTCTTCTGTA